TCTGCCGTTAGCCGCTTGCCGTACTAAATCTATGAAACAAATACTACTAATTGCTATTAAATCGAGCTGATTAGAATGAAGTCAATAACTCAATAGATAAGTGTGAAGTAAAAAAAGTGAAAAATGCATTACACTTATACAAATTTGTACGCTCTAATTGCATTGTTTTCTTTTGTGTCTATTTGGCTATCACACTTTATTAGTCAACTACTGTTTCACGGGCTTGAAGACTTCACTCAAAGGAACTGCCATAAGTTTATGATTGACTTGAACCGTGAATCAAGATAAATCAAGCCAGGTGATAAATTACTCTAATGATTTATCAGTAATTAGTAATATTTGTTTCACGGGTTTGGTGCGTCCACTCTAGCATCCATTTTGTTCCTTTTATTAAATTCACGGATTGACGGCTGTCACATGATCACGGAAGTTTTAACATCCACCATTTTTGTTGTTGTGGATACAAAACTTTTTGTGTTCACATGCACCCATGTTTCTTCGTGTTAAATTTTAATGCTCCATTTTCGAATTCAAAGCGAAAAACCGCTGCTTTATTTGACAACATCTTCTTTTGCGCAAAGACATTACCTAATAACAAAAAAAGCACGAGAAAATGTCGTTATTACAATAGCCTTGAAAATGTGCATTTTCCCCGAGTTGAAACTAAACCCTGTATTCTCAAAAGGCCTAAGGTTTAAGTATTCTAGGAATACAGAGYTAGCCTCAACGCGGCGAAAATGTAAATTGTTAGCGCTATTGTACTTGCAACAATTTCTGGTGCTTTTTTATTTGTCTTTGGTAAGTTCTTTGCGTAATTGAATCTGCTGTCAAATAAAACAGCGGTTATTCTCTTTGAATTCGAAAATGGGGTATTTCGAATTATTATTTGACAAAGCTTTTGCAGCTACATGTAGACGGACAACTGGAAGTCGTTCTTATAATCCCTTTATTTCAGTTGTTAATAGGTAAGCAATAGCTTGAAATTTGATAGAGAATATAGAAAGTAGCTGGTCAGCGGCTACATTTTGCAGCTGGATTGCAAATCATGATAAATGAATGATGGTTCAGAACCAGTCCTCCTTCTTCCAAAGCGGATAACCGCTGTTTAACATGACAGCAGATTTTCTTTCGCAGAGGCCTTTCCAGAATTAGCAAATGAATACAAGAGAAAYTCCGTCATCAYATTATCCTCGATAATTAGCAGTGATTTGTCATGCTTTTCTTTTGTTTCTGGTATGGACTTTGCGCAAGAGAATCTGCTGTCACATAATACAGCGGTTATACGATTTGAATTAAAAGAAAGGATCCTTCCGTAAAATGTGATCTTTAATAATTGTTGCACCCAGACCCTTCTCAGTGCGCTTGATTGACTAGGATCGAGTAGGGTCTGGTTACAACAAGGCCATGTCGACTGATAACGGAAACTTTGCATCCGCAACGTTTTTTAACGTTTACTGGTTGCGTATACTTGCATGGCAGTATACGGAAACTTTACGTACGGGTAAAATCTRCCATCTTGTGGATACAGGCTAAGTGCTTCAAGTAAATTATATTTCAGTACCCAGRCCCCTTATCCATTGGTACTAAATTATATTTTTGTAATAGTGTGTGAAGCTKTGTAGGCCGGCGTATTAATCCAAACTAAGCCGATACAAACACAAGGCTAAACTGCAAAAAGTGGACGTTTTACAATACCGAAACCTCCATATTACGGACATCTCTATATTACGAACACCTCTGTATAACAGACACCTTAATAACACAGACATTTTAATATTACGAACAACTCTATATAATGGATATCTTTGTATAACAGACAATTACAAAGAACTCTATATTACAGATATCTCTAAATTAMAGACACTTAAGACCTCTKTATYACGGACACTTCTGTATAACGAACACTCCTATAGAGTGGATTTCGTATGAGTGGGACACCGTTACCGCACGGTTATCGCACAGTTACCGGACCTGGCCTTCACAATTTTGGTGAACCAATGGGGCACTAGAATTTGGTTACAGTACGATTACGGTYACAGTACAGTACCGTCYGTTTCCCACTCATACGAAATCCGCTCTATTATGGACATCTTTGTATAACGGACTGAACTACAAAGAACTCTATATTACAGATATCTCTAAATTACAGAAACTTAAGACCTCTTTATTACGGACACTTCTGTATAACGAACACTCCTATATTATGGACATCTTTGTATAACGGGCAACTCTGTATTACAAGAAGAACTCTATACTAAAGACACTTAAGACCTCTTTATTACGGACACTTCTGTATAACGAACACTCCTATATTATGGACATCTTTGTAGTAACGGACAACTCTGTATTTACAAAGACCTCTTTATTACAGACATCTCTATATTACAGACCTCTATATTACGGACACTTTTATATCAAGAACATAAAGAACACATAATCTATACTAGAGAACCTTCTATTTTACGGCCAGTTCTATGTTACAAACACTTCTACATATTAATACGGGCCTGTTTCACATCATAAAATACTTATTAGTTAAACTAATATTTTACACTAGAATAATATGGCTTGATACAAGTCGGTTTTAACGTATTTTTTATCTAGAAAATAGGGCTTGGAAGTCGAAATTTAAAGAGTTAATACCTTTTTATCGTATTTTGTGAAATGTAATTTTTCTATCTATTACAAAAACTTTAAAAATTAATAAAATTTAAAAAATAATTGTTATGTTGTGTTGTTCCTAATAAGTTAAGATAAACTGGGCGACAGAGTCAAGATGGCGGTCATTCAAACTGACAAATGCGCATGCTCTCACAGCATTCGTGATTCAAAAAGAATTGCTGTAAAAGTTGTTGGAGGGATGAAGTACTATGTTATGTCATCACAATATGCGGCAATGCGTTGCGAAAAGTAGACTTGAGTTCTATTTCGTGCAGCGCTCACGACAAAAAAAAGTTATCGCAAGATCGCACTGTTTTTACAAAAAATTAAAGCCCTCCCAAATGTGAAGTTGTACGCTCGAAAACCTTAGTCATATCGAGAAAGGCCCATACKAATTGTTGTATTTTTACCTGCGCTCGTTCGTTGACCATATTTGGATTAATGAATTCCATATTTGGAAACCGGCTGAGCCAACTCGCGCGCGTGAACCAGTGAAAACATAATTCAAAAACTTAGTTCAAAAGTAGTTTGGTGAATCAACCATGAATAATTTTAACAATTTATTCCAAGTTTTCGATTTAAGCGGTCATCCTCAGGGAACACAAAGACGTTATAAAAGCCAAAACGCATTTAAACTGTAATCAAACTGTTTTTGCGCGAGCAAAGAAAAAAAAACAGTGCGCGCGCTGTTACAAATGTTCCCAGACCTCCATTATGATCACAAAATACAACATCTGATTCATTCTCGATATGTAAAATAAACTTTTTGAAAATATAATTTTAGAACATGCTTGAGAGAAAGAAAAGAACGAATGCGCACGCTGTGTCAGTTGGGCACCCTATGTTAWGTTTCGCGGAATCTTCCGAGTCCGGGCTCTGGGAACGAGATTACGAACTTCATTAAAACTGATCATGCGCAAACAAGGCATGCAGCGCGCGCGAAATTAATGACGTAATATCACTTATTGTGACGTTGAAATTAGTATTGAATGACTTGTCGTTTTAAGACATAGTAAAAGAAAAATAGTGAATATGGGAAACTGTTTTTCTTGCCATAAAGCAAGCGAAGAAGAATCTTTTGAGGAAGTGGTGATCATAAAGCAAGGTATTTATCTACCAATAAATGGAAACCGTCTAGCATTATTCATTTTGTTGATTTCTAAGACTAGAGACATCTTCGACATAAACATAACATAGTAAAACATAAATAAGCTCAGTCTCTTCAATTGCATTTATTGTAGATGATCCYAAAAACATTCTCTGCGACAAAGAAGAATCAAAGATAACAAAAATAAATACGAAGCAGGATCATGTCTCATTGACTTCTATCGAAAAGGTGAGAAGTGGACAAGAAGACGCGTCGGTTAGATTGATACATAAACTTGATCAATTGTAGAGTGTATACAACTGCATGTAATACATACTAAAATATTGATGTTGCTGTTGTTCAAGGAACCTGTAAGCAAGCCTCAAGCGGAAACATCACAAGACGCTGATGTAGAAACAGAAAATGAAGTCGATTTCACGGTCGCAGACCTCTGCCTCATGGGAACGTCCATCAAAAAGGTTAGAAATTCACAAGCATATGCGTCTTCTGCGTTTGATAATGCGTTTTAGATGACATATACTCTTTTATATTTAGCAAATATAATTGTTGGTGTTTTTGTTGTTTAAGGAGTCTGAATGCCAGCCTCAAGCGGAGTTAACATATGACGCTGATGTTACAACAGAAAGTGAAGTCGAGCTTACCTCTGACCTCTGTATCACGGGAACACCAATTAAAAAGGTAAGAAATTCTTAAGCGGACGCGTCGGACGGTTTCATATTCGATTATAAACTTGATTTTTGTTTACATACACATAGCACAATACAGTTATTGTTATTGTCTTTCAAGGAGCCNAGTGGTAGCACCACAAGACGCTGATGCAACAACAGAAAATGAAGTGCAGCTCACCGCTGACCTCTGCATCACGGGAACGGCAATCAAAAAGGTTAACTATACATATAACAAGCATATTCGTCTTTTGCGTTTGACGTTGGATTTTTAGATTACATTTACAATTTTAAATTCAGCTAAGTATAGTTGTATATAAATGTTGTTGTTAAAGGAGCCTGTAACCCAACTTGAAGCAGAGGTAAAATATGACGCTGATGTTACAGCAGAAAATGAAGTCGAGCTTACCGGAGACCTATGCATCAAGGAAACTTCCATCAAAGAGGTAGCAGACGCGTCAGTTTATGGTTGTCATTTGATCTTAAGCCAGGTTTTACATACATGTAAATGCTATACAGTAGAATAAAGTTGTTTCTGTTGTTGTTCAAGGAGCCTGTAAACCAGCCTGAAGGTGAAGTACCAAAAGACACTCATGCAAAGTCAGAAAATGAAATCGAGCTCACCGCAGAACTCTGCATCACAGGGAAGTACATCGAAAAGGTTAGAAGTGATCAAGTAGGCACGTCGCCTCTCCTGATATTTTTTTGCTATAAACTTGATTTTAGACAAAAAATGAACGTGTATGTTCAGCACAAAAAATTTGTTGTTGTTGTTGTTTAGGAGTCCTCAAGTCAGTCTCATGTTGTAGTGKTACCATTCGACGCTGAGGAAGTTGACGTCTCAGTGACAGACACAAATAATAGCTCACTGAATGAGTTGGAGCAAGTCCATGACACATTGGTCACCCCTGACWGCGTGTCAAGCACAGACAGCCTTCTTCTTGGACACCACCATAACTATAACCATCCTACTGAGATGGGAAGTGATGGAGATGCTGGAGCGTCCTCTTCRGATCTGATTGCAGCCGATCWACTYATWCAAGATATTGACTCAATTATTCATGGYGACACTCAAAAGTTCAATGCCMAAACACCTAAAAYAAGGACAGACCCTGAAAYRGTTCGGTTTCTGACCAGTGGGAACAMAGAACTAAGAAAAGGACGGCARRCTACACTGAWCAAAGACGTTCCAGGTACTTGATTGATCAACAGAAACAAGACAGTAATGATTAAACAACAAGAAAAACAGYAAAAATATCCAACAAAGTTRCAACAACAATGAAAAAAATGACAACAACAAAACKGTGRCAACTAAGAAACCTTTTTAGTGAATTTAAAGTTCACTAGTATTGTATTTATCATCTTATAATTAACTTTTCMAATTTAAATTTTGTCTCGAGAGATCCTGATGACATTATACATTATTACATTTATTATATTTGGAATATTACACAGGAAAGATGYATTTCGGTCCCTAGTATTGTATCGCTTAACTATAAGAGTCAATAACTGTATCATTTCAGAAATAAATGACGAGGAAACATTGGAAGAAGCAGATGACCTTATCAAAGAAATGGATTCCATTATTCAGTCCAGTGGCAGTAAAACGATCGAGGAGCTAAGACCCAAGACAATGAAAGGACGAACTGAAGCGAACTTACCCGCAAAATCTACAACAAGTTATTCCGGAGAGGGGACTATCCAATGCGAAGGGGATGCTCAAGGTAAGCAATGAAATATAATGAAAAAGGAAACGCTYGCTACCGTTGTGTTCCTACTAGTCTTTCTTCTTTTGTGCTCTTAACCTCTTACCAAGTTTATATGACTGAACAGACACGCGTGGACATTTTTTATTTCTTAAATTTACAAGATATTCAAATCGGTATCTTTCATATATATTTTATAGGAGCAATGGCGACCGTTGATCGTTCTGTCACGAATACACCGAAGAACCTTCACGCCGTTAATTACAAAGAAGAAGAGCTGGAAATGATGCTCCAAATCTTAAAAGAAGACGAACAAAAAGTAAAGAAACATGCGTCATTAGAAAGCGATCTGATGGCAGACCACAGTGTGCCTCTACCCTCTGTCAAGACTGTCAAGTTCTTAGTGGATGACCAAAGACCGCAAACAAGAACAGGGMTCYCAYCGWGTGCGCCAAACACRCTTAGAAAGGGACGGGTGACTTYCGAGAGGAAATTTGTTCCAGGTAAATGGAAATCCGTCAAAATATATATAAAAATACGTTGTTAGCATTTGAAATGAACGTTATATTAACCATTTAAAGATCAAGAGCTCAAATTAAAAGTGTAAATATCAATTATATAATTTCAGAAAAACATGAAAAAGAAGCATTGTCTTCAGATCTTGATAGAGCTGATAATCTTATAAAAGAACTGGATTCCATTATTCAGCCTATTGGCAGTAAAACGACCGACGATCTAAGACCTGAGACAATGGAAGGACGAATTCAAACAACTCGAGGTTTGCCCTCAAAATCTAAACCAAATAATGACGTGCGAGGGACTGTACAATACGAAGGAGACGCTCAAGGTAAACAGATCAGTGAAGAAGGAAGGCAAATGCACRCTGCTCTTGTGTTCCTATAGGCTTAGTTTCTCTTGTGCTCTCAACCTCTCACCAAGTTTTTATCACTGAACAGACCCGCGGCCATTATATATTTCTCGAATTTACAAGAGATTCAAGTCTGTATTTTTTTAATATATTTTAGGTACATTGGCGACTATTAATCGTTCCGTCCCGATAACACCAAAGAACCTTCACGCAATTAATTACAAAAACGAAGAGTTGGAAATGATGATCGAAATCTTAAAAGAAGACGAGCAAAAAGTAAAGAAACACGCGTCATTAGAAAGCGCTCTGATGGCAGACCACAGTGTGCCTCTACCCTCTGTCAAGACTGTCAAATTCTTAGTGGATGACCAAAGACCGCAAACAAGAACAGGGCTCTCACCGAGTGCGCCAAAAACACTTAGAAAGGGACTGGGAACATCCGAGAGCAAATTTGTACCAGGTATGTATATAAACCTGGTCAACGCGATTTAATTAAGCGTTATATAATTATTTTAAAACAAAATCAACGGCTCCAAAGAGTAAATAATTGTATCATTTTAGAAAAACMTGAAGAAGAAGCATTGTCTTCAGATGTTGATAGAGCAGATAACCTCATAAAAGAACTAGATTCTATTATTCAGCCTAGTGGCAGCAAAACGACCGACGAGCTAAGACCCAAGGCAAGGAAAAGACGAACTGAAATGACCCGAGGTTTGCCCGCAAAATCTAAAACAAGAAATGCCAGAGAGGGGCAATGCGAAGGAGACACTGAAGGTGAAATATTGGAATAAATGGTTCAAGAAAATTTAGTTGCAAATGATTTTAGTTTCAATCAATTGTATCTCAGCTCCTCTGATATAAGCATGGTGGATGAGGTGAGAGTGAAAAATGCTCGCCACGCTCGCGTTCCTTGGCTTGCTTCTCTAGTGATCTTCAACGTGCTCATATCAAAAACCAGAGACACGAGAGGCCGTCTTACATGGATACAAGTCTTTATCTTTGTAATGTATTTTCAGGTACAGTGGCGACAGTAGATCTTTCAGCCAAGAATACACCAATGGATCTTCCCGCCATTAATTACAAAGAAGAAGAGTTGGAAATGATGCTCGAAATCTTAAAAGAAGATGAACAAAAAGTTAAGGAACAAGCGGCATTASAAAGCGATCTGATGGCAGACCACAGTGTGCCTCTACCCTCTGTCAAGACTGTCAAGTTCTTAGTGGATGACCAAAGACCGCAAACAAGAACAGGGCTCCCACCGAGGCCTAAAACAAGGCGCGGGCCGCTAAAAACTAAACTTAATAATTTGCCAGGTAAAACTAGGAAACTAATCGACGGGATGATGTTTGTTTACATGTTAATTCCTTCTTGGCCCAGCATTAACTTGATTAGTCATCGTCAACTTTCTACAACAAGGTCGCAGTTGCAGTCCTTGCACTTTTTCATCCAAAAATTTCACAACTACTTTTATATATTTTTGCAAAGGAAAAGCAAAAACCGCTTAGTAGGGCCGTTTTAGACTGACATACGTTTACACGGGGCAGGTTCCGTTCTTAATCGTTGCGTTCATACTGGAACTCTGGAACTGGCCTCATCTGAGGCTGGCAAAGTGTTCTGGTTTGGGGCCGGCTAAAAAGCCGATCCATTTTTAGGACGGCTCACTTCGAAGCATGAACGGATCCGTGTCAACACTGTTTCAATCCGTGCCGAAATGTGACCGGCCCCGTGTGAACGTAGTCTAAAATACAACGACATGATTGACACTTGTCACACTATCGATTTTACACAGCTTTACTGATATCGATCGATTGTCAACAACAAAATAAAGTGAATATGACTTTTTTAGGAAATCATTTCTATTCGAAAAGAGGAAATGATAAWAGTGAAGAAATGAACTGACTTTTGAAATGTCGCCACCTTGAAAACTGAAAAATGAGGTGACATCAATTTTTTGCATTTTTGTTTGCTTTTACAAATTGTGTTTGCTTAAAGAGTTGACATCATCATGAACTATAGTAATATTTGAAAGCTGAAAATATTTTTCAATTGTTACAAAAAGAATGGGATCCCCTTTCATGATCTGTATACCAAATCATTCCAAAATAGAAGGTTTTAATTCTTTTTGGTGTCCTCAAACTTGAACGGTCCCGTGTGAACGTAGTCTAAAATATCATCTCTTTCCTTTTAGGTCGATTGAACCCCATCTAATGTGGTGAAGAAGCCTCTTTGCTTTGAAGAATCAAAAATATTGCAGATAATTTGAGTCAGTAATATTTTAAAACAAAAGAGATATATTTTGTATAATAAAATACTATTTATTCTTATTACTGTCTATTGTGGTTTTGCTTTTGAACAATGTGAACATGATGTCATGAGTTAAAAATGTGAAATGTCATTTGTAAAATCTGTAAAGAACAATGACATCGTGACTTTTTCGGGCTTCCTGTTTCAAATGTAAATGAGAGGAACTGGAAGCCAAGTGTGTTTAGTGTGTTACGTAATTTGACTTCCGTTCAAAACAACATGTCGGTGTATCGGTATGGAGTTTGGTTCGTGAAAGGCCTTCGAGAATACACTAAAACAGGCTATGAAGCCGCACAGAAATCGTTTAAACCTGATGCCCTCGATGTGGACATATCAAGCAGATCATTCATGATTACAGGAGCAAACAGC